TCCCGCCGAGCCCCAAATTCTTTCCCCATTAAAAGACACCCCCCCCCAATCCAAACTCACTCAGATCTCGATTCCCAGAAGAACGGTTTGTTCATGGCGACCTTCTTGAGCTCGTTCAGGGTATCGGTCAGGGTGGCGCTGAAGAGCATGGTCTGCCTATTGGCTGGAACTGCAGCCAAGATGACTTCCAAGTCTTTGGTAAAGTCGGTGCAGCCTTGTTCTAGCAACCGGTCGGCTTCGTCTAGGACCTAAAAGGAACCCAGAAAGGAGACAGGAAGTGGCTGCAGCTGAACCGCCACTAAAACTTAGTTAAGGACCAGACCAAAGGGTCAAGGCAACTCTGAAAGGCAGTCTGGGCTGGACCATGTTCCCACGGAGAAAATAGCTATACATCAGAGTAAGACCGGTGGACTTCAATTCCCAGAATTCCCCAGCCAGCACCCTGGCTATTTCATGCAAGTTGACTTTCGGGACTGCGATACAGGCAGTGCTTGACTTACAATTGTAACTGAGCCTGGAATTAGAGCTGTCATTCATGCTGGTTGTTAAGCAGGTGATGACATATCACTTACTCAATTTTAGGATATTTTTTGTGGTGATAGTTAACACCCTTGTCTGCAATGGGTGTTTTATTGCAGTAAACAGGAAGCAAATGCCAGTTTACGGCAAAATCCATCCTAACTGGGAGAGATCCAGCTCTTGCCCGCTGCTTTACGGGGTTCCTCAGGGCTCGGCGTACCAGTGGTGGGGTTCAAAAATTTATACTATCAGTTCTGTGGGCGTGGTGTGGCTTGGTGGGTGTGGCCGGGGAAGGATACTGCAAAATCTCAATTCCATTCCCCACTCCTGGGGGAAGGTTACTGTAAAATCCTCATTCCCTCCCCACCCCACGAACCTGCTTTCCAGCTCCGTTCTCCTTTGGTTGCCCTACCAAAGAAGACCCAATCGATCAGCTGGGACTTGGGAGGCAGAGAATAGATGGGGGCAGGTTCCCCAGAACCAGTCAGAACCTGCTGAATGCCATCTCTGCTCGGTACTCTCTCTGCTCCTGTTCAACATTTATATGAAGCCGCTGGGTGAAATCATCTGCCACCATGGACTGAGGTATCACCAATATACTGATGATACTCAGCTGTATGTCTTGGCTGGTGGTGAGTTAAGTGTTGCTGTGTCCTCCCTCTCGTAGTGCCTGGAGGCTGTTAGGGGCTGGATGGGGAGCAACGGGTTGAAACTAAACCCTTGCAAGGTTGAGTGGCTCTGGGTTTGGGGTTCACTGGCTCAGGGAGAATTGCCACCTTTAGTCTTGGATGGGGTGGCACTACCCCAAACAGACCCTGTGCGTAATCTAGGGGTTTTCTTGGACTCACTGGATTCCTGTTCGAAGAGCAGGTGGCGGTCATGGCCAGGAGGGCCTTTGTGCAACTGTGGGTTGTGCACCACTTACGCCCTTTCCTGGATCAGCGGTCCCTACTCACAGTCACTCATGCCCTGGTCACTTCCCATCTTGATTATTGCAATGCACTCTACATGGGGCTGCCCTTGAAGAGCATCCGGAAGCTCTAATTGGTGCAAAATGCAGCGGCCCACCTGGTTTTGTGCAGACCCCGTTGTGCACAAATATTCTAGAAATCCACACACCTTAAACCTGCCATGGTTGAGAAACCCCGCTTCGTGCAAACGTCTTACCAAGAACTTGATGCTTCGAAGACTGAAGGTATTGGAGCTCCGTAGGTGATCAGCCAGGCGGCCAGGGGTAGCGACGACAACATGGGGCTTCCGAGACAGCTCCAGGGCTTGAGAGACCATATCTGAAAGTCCACAAATAGAGACAATCTTAACATCTCTTGTAAGAGATAGCGTCCAAACAGCTGTTGTGGCTGTTGAGGTAATTCCCCGTTAGGAGAATGAGCGCATACAGGGAGACGTATTTGAGAGAAGTATTTGAATAATACACACACAGTATCACCAAAACTGAACAAGAAGCTACTGGGATAATTTCACTATTGGAAAAGAAATTTAAGATAAAACAGTTAGGAGAAATCAAACAATATCTTGGTTTAAAGATAGATAGAACTAGGGGAGGATACAAGATCTCACAGGCAGATAAAATTAACCAATTACTAAAAAGTTTTAAAATGGAACTTTGTAAGCCAGCTAAGACACCAATGAGCCAGTTTAGCCATAGTGATGTACAAAGTCCTATTTTTGATAAGAACATTTATCAGTCCTTGATTGGTAGTTTATCTTATCTCAGTAATTGATCAAGGCTAGATATTGCATACAGTGTTAATCAATTAGCGAGATTTAATGCTGAGCCAACTGACAGGCACTGGCAAGCTGCTAAAAGTGTGTTAAGATATCTGAAACAAACAATGCATTATGCATTGTATTTTGAGCCTAAAGATGAACTGAATTTAACTGCATATGCTGATGCAAGTTTTGCTACAGACATAAATACACAAAAATCTACATTGGGTATTGTAGTATTATTGGGAAAAGCATTGATTGGATGGAGATCTATTAGACAGAAACATCTAAGTTTGTCAACAATGGAGGCTGAATTCTCATGTTTGTCTTTACTATGTACAGATTTAGTTTTGTATAAGCAACTACTAATTGACATGGGAATTGATGTAACAGATTCTATTGTTGTTTATGAAGATAATCAATCAGCAATACAGATGGCTTCAAATATTGCTGATAAAACAAGAACGAAACACACAGATTTAAGATATTTAAATGTGAGACAATGTGTGCAAAGTAAAATGATTAAGCTAGAATACCGTATGACAGAAAACAATTTCGCAGATCATTTTACAAAGGCCCAAGGCTCTATAAAGCATAAGGCTTGCTGTGAGGATTATGGACTTAGAATGTAAGGTTGTACATATTGTCCTACCCAAAAAGGGAGAATGTTAGGAATATAAGTCACCTAACAGCTATTTGGGTTGGAAATATATAAACCAGGATAAACATTTTAATACTGTCTCTTTAAGAGCATCCTAAAAGTGTAATTGGGTGTGGTTTCTCAAAAGGCCATAAGATGGAGCCAGAAACCTGGGTTGTTCAGTCTTAGTCTCAGAAAAAGTCTCAGTGAGTCTCTCTTTTTCCTTCTGTTGGAGAATATTGCCGTTCCTTCTAATTGACTGCTATTCCTGGATTTGATGTAAGTCTGATACTGAACTGTTTTTGACACTGGAATTTGTTATTGGATTATCCCTGGACTAAAAACTGACTGAACTTACCTGTGAATGACTCTGGACTGCCTATTTTGAACTTTGCTCAAATGTTATTGAAAGTAAAAAAGCTACATTTACTGTACAGTGTATCTGTGTGCTGTTATTCAAACACTACTCTCAAATACGTCTCCCTGTATGCGCTCATTCTCCTAACAGGGAATTACCTCAACAACATGCACAGAGCTGCCAGAAGGGAACAGCTAAGGAACAAGGGTCGACTTGGGAGTAAGGCCACAGGTGGACGGTGAATGGCCCCTCCCATAGGGAATAAAATAGGAGCGAAAGGGGTTTTTTGCAGGAGACAATTAGTTCATTTGGGTGAAGATCTGTTCCTGCATTCTTTGCCAAGTATTGTCTGCTACAGGGGTCCCCAACCACCGGTCCGCGGACCGGTCCCGGTCCGTGG